TTTTTGCCATAAAAACACAAGAAATTGATGCATAAATTGTCGCTCATTTGTGTGGCTCAGGCTCTCACTCATCCATTCTCTCTCTATTTCTCTCTCTTACGCTCACTTTTGCTCTCAATTACTCGTATCCTATCAAACCAACACTCCCTTCGCTCTCTCTCTCTCTCTCTCTCTCTCTCCACATCCCTATCCCTCTCAGCCTCCCTGTGCTCTAACAGCGAGAGTGACTCTAAACATGAATAATAAACGATGAAAAACATTTTCTCAGTACTCAGTGATGAACCTTTACTCGAGAGACTCGGTATTGATAGAAAAGGGCATAATTTGTATAAAAAAGCCCAAACATTCCCATGAAAATGAGAAAATAGGGTTTCCGAAAGGCTATCGAAAAACATTAAAAACTAGTGCTCCGTATGTGCATCAGATATGAAATAGATGAGGAACTGGAGCACAGGGATAGGGATGTGAATGTGTACGGGTGTATGAAATATAAGGGATGCGCGCGTACAGCTAAACATGAAATATATGTATAGCTAATAGAGTGTAGTATTTGGAGTCAAAATATGTGTGCCTCGTTTAAAATATAGTTTTCACGTGTAGGTGCCCCGTATGCCTGTCCCCAATGGCCGATAGAAAGTCGCCACAAAACAGAACAAAGAGCACACTTGGTTTTGTTTCGGGTTCTCCAAATAATTATAATACAAAAACGTATGGTAAACACGTTTTGTATACTTGTAATATAATGTCAGTACATGATTAAAAAGACATGTGTTTTTCTGTGCGCAAATATTATTGGAAATTGAAAATTATTAAATATAACTTTATACTAACTTTAAGATTAACTTTTAGCAAGTATCAATATTTTTAAATTAAATTACAAACACTTTTCATATAATAATTTAAGTTTTTTGTTTGAACTTGGTGTGGGAGTTAGATAGTTATGTCTATATTTAGTGTATAACTCAATGAGTGTGTGTGTAATTAAATTCATTCATAAAACAAACATAATTTTTCTATTTAATCATAAAAACATATATTATATAAAACAATTGCATTGAAAAAGAAATTGCTATTCAATAGCAATTTCCAACTTTTATTTACATATTTCACGGCTATATTTGATTACACCCTTGGCTACCCAGCAATTGTGTACACTTTTTATACGAGAAAATCTAATTAAATCATTGATTGTATAAAGTAGAGTGAAAACAATGACTAAAAGAGATTCAATGCAATCATTTCTACTATAAAAACACAATTTGTTATATATTTATACATATTATCAAATCAAGTCGAGCGCCTGGATGCTGGGGGGACCGACACTCTGAGAAAGGGCTAAATTGGCACAAATAGTGGCCCAAAAATATGAGCACATAATGCTCAACACATGTGCTGTACTCAATGTATTATATGATAGGATGAGTGGTATATCATAGGAAAGATGCTGTGTTTGCCGTCATTTTATGATAAGACTATAAGACAGGGTTGGAGTGAACGGCGCATCCATTGCCTATGCGTTTCATACATAAGTGTTGGATCACATCCATCACCGGCATATGTCTGGAGAGACAAGACATCATCTCTCCATCGGTTCATTGTTTACTCCATACCATGATATCTATAACTCTTCAGTAAACCAATTGAATAACTTATATGTTGTGTGCCTTTCGCTCGCATTATATCATCAAATCATAAATCTTTTCATTTGATGCACTCATTTGATTGCCAGCGCGTGGTCTTATCAATGGGTGCCTTAAATTATTTACTTTTAAACATTTTTTGCTTGTTGTTGTTGCTAGATATCAATTTGATGTTACAATAGAAAAGCTTTAGATACTGTATAAACGTAAATGACTTTAAAAATCAATTACTTTGGGAGCGAATAAAATATAATAGATAGTAAACTAATATTTTTCTATCAATATATACTGTGTATATACAAGTATAGCGTAACGTTAATGTAGTTTAAAATACATCTCAATCATCGCATCAAAGCTTAATCTAATTTCTGGGGCCAAAAGCTTACGAATAATACAATAAATGCAATATTTTTCACACAATTTTGTTTCGCAAATAATCGTATAATAGGCATATCTTTGTGAATCAATTACTACATACAAATTGATTGCTTGTTCACATTTAGAGCAACAAATTTGAGCCCAAGAATTGGCTATAGATTTGTGTGTAAAACAAGACTCGGATCTGAATATTCATGAAATGGTTGGCCACCACCACCACCACCATCGCCACGACTCTCACAAATAAATATTTGATTATAACTGCGATAGGAATGTGTGCTCTCATTGTAATCACTATTGAATTTCAAGCCCTCGTACACAATACACGGAGAGATATGCCTTTCCCCTATTGAATGGTGTGAACCAGAAATGGTTTTTGATCTTAAATATGATGACAAAAGCGGCACACAATTAGTGACGGATTGGCAGCCGTGAGAAAAGTGGATAACTGGGTGGCAATGGGCTATATAAGGGTACCTTTCAATTGATTGGTCACATGTAATTAATACAGCGATTAATCATTTGCTGTGTTTTTTGACAACTTATACACCAATTGGTAGGCAATGGAGTGGTAGTATAGTGTGGGCTCGCAATCGACTATAAAAAATGCATTAAATCTGATTTATAGTGAAATTTAAATTTTATAGACAGTAATGTCTATTCAATATTTGATAACTTAATATATTTTGGTATTAACATATTTATTGATTTCAATGTACTTAAGCTATTGTATGTCAGTTTTGATTCAAAATTCAAAAGTCTTTTAAAATAAATTTCAAGTTTAAGGTTTGGATTAATTTGATAAACAATTGTGTCTGATCATAAATTAATTAACTTAATTAACATGAAATTTAATTTTAGGAAAAATTTTATAATGCATAAAAATCTATATAAATTAAATTATCAAGTAATACATTGCTTATAAAAATAAGCATTTTTAATTAAAAAGCAATTAATAGAATTGAAATAAATTCATGAGTGTTTTATTTATAGCCAGCACACTATGCCCCACATTATATCTCACTGTTTGTCGAGAGAAAGTCTATTTAAAAATAATTTTCAGACAACTATTTGATTTGGGAGACGAAACTAAGCGTTCATTTTCATTGATTCAAAAGATAATTATTTATATAAAAATTAAAGCCAACGAAAAATGGCCGCAATTTTCTTGAAGCAATCGTTTCTCCACTGAAAGCACGTAAACAGTGGTAGCAATCGACTGATCCCTTACTCCAAGAGCTCTATATATACGAGATATCTCTCTCTCTAAACACTTGCGTTTGAGTGCCATATACTGTATATACACATAGAAAACACATAGAAAACGGTATTCCGTACGAAACAAGTATTACCCAAAAGGGAGGCGACTGTAGAGCTAGGAATCCACAGCACATATCTACAGTATATATAGAGCTCATGGATGCTTACAGGGCTCGACCATCCATGGCATGCACTACTGGTGCTGTGCACGAGAAGATCAATAGGGAGGAGCTCTCCCATACACTATCATCATATTATAGATCCAGAGCTCCTACACTCTACTATAGCACACACATACATCTCTTAGAGCACAGACACAGAGCACAGGCATCGCCAGTATATATCTCTTGCATAGAGAGACCAATTCCAGTGACTCTTTATTATATGAAATTTTGTCCTTTTATTAAGTTATATATTATTTGATCATTCATTGCCATACACGCCATCAAACACACCATCAGATATACTATGGATTATTCATATCTTAATCAAGGCTTCGACACTACATGCTCGCTGTCATCGATGGACCCGTCTGGATTATCATCGTGCCAGTTAGCCTGCTCATACCCGGACTTGAGTGGCCAGTGCTCGCCACAGTACCCCCGGTATCAGCCGTCGGCACCGGCGATGCAGATGCGGTCGCCGGCGGTGTCTTCAGCCCAGGCGATGATCACCGGCTCCCGGATGACCATCAATAGTCACCATCAGGTGGGCGCCACGCCGTCGGTGTTCCCATCGTCCATGGGTTTGCAGAGTGAGTCCATACTTGCGATACCTGTCCATTGAATCTTAAATTTTATATATATTTTAAGCGCATGTGATTTGAACCCTATTTTCTAAACGCTATCCAAAATAAACTGTAAATTTCTCTACGATTAAAATATTGGATATTTTGCGTGTTTTCTACGATTTTAATGTCTGCGTTAAGTCATGTGTTTTGGTGATGAATACCCAGGTCTGCCTTACAAGATGTATACGCCGGGACACGACGGTATGCTGACGGAGAAGCGCAAACAGCGCCGGATTAGGACCACCTTTACGTCGGCCCAACTCAAAGAGCTGGAGCGGGCCTTCCAGGAGACCCACTATCCGGACATTTATACGCGCGAAGAGATCGCTATGAAGACCGACCTCACGGAAGCCCGGGTTCAGGTAAGACCTGTTTTGACCATCGCATAGAAAAATACATATTTGCTGAGCAGATGGTTGTACAAAAGCTGCCGGTGCTCTCATACAATCACAGCTGAGTGGTGTCGCGCGTGTGAGCCCCTGGTCTACACACGTGGCAAACACTCAGTCATCATAGTATTGCTTATCGATAAAAATGTGGAAATGGAGTCACATTTGGGCCGTAGATAGGAAGCGAACCCTTCATTACATGATTGCGATGTTTCCGAGTCTTGTCGTCACGTGTTGTGTATTGGGACACAAACTCCGGACACAATACTTCCCATAACACGCGACTCCACTCTCCCGGTGCTCTCTCTCTCTCTCTCTCTCTCTCTCTCGGAAACGACAACTTTGGTCGCGTGCGCTCATATGTATAGCCATTGTATGGCAACAATACTATTGACAAAACTCACTAATCGTTTCCATCACTCGTTACCATTATTTATATATTCAATAATTGCTAGCTCAGATTATGATCACTACTAAAAAGTGTACAACTTTTTGTGTGTGTTGCACATCACTTGTTATAACTGACAAGTGCTTCGCTCGCAAAACAAATTATTATTTACTTTTTGAACTCAATTTTTTGCATATGTTTTCACTGAAACATTATAAGAATTTATCGTATTTTTCGAGAAATTCTGTCTCAAAAAACTTATTTATTTTTGAAACTTATTTATCACTCACTCTTTGCTTTATATTTGCATTTCATTGAGCGTTAAGTAATGAGAGTTCAATGCAAATGAAGTCAAAGTGTTTGTGGAGAGAGAATCCTATGCTAAACACAATGTTATGTTTATTTGAATCAGGATTAGTTAGTTGTTCACATGTTAGTTGAACATGCTTAATCAAAATAAGATATTTTCACTCTTTACATTTCATTTATTTATATGTGTTTTAAAAGTCTCAACAAAAAAATCAAAACATTTCAATCAGATATCTCTGTAAGTTTTTTTATCACTTTTACTTATAGTGTATAGACTTGTGCCCCAAAGCTATAGATTTTGTTTTGTTTTGTGTAGTGAATTGAATTTTGTTGGCAAATTTGATTGCAAATCAAATCAATAAAATTGAACCTCAATTCAATGGTAGCGACAATTCAATGAACAAAAACATACAAACAATTCATTCACTTATTTCGCTCTCAAAAGACACTTTAGTTTCTCTATGTCTGCGAAAATGCAGTCAAATATTTATTTCATTTAATAATAAAATAAATTACCAAAAAATGTTAGTCTAGTATTAAATGTAAAAGTAAGGGGGTATGTTTTTTTGATTATCTAAAAACCAGTCGCACATACAAACAAAATACAATGAGTTATGCGTTTAATGGACTAAACAAATAAAATATTAATAGCAGTAATTGCTATTTTCTATCATATTTCAAGGCTTATGAAAATTAATAATTATGTAATGATATTATATGCAAAAAGCCAGACATTAGTGGTGCATTCATATCGTGGAAATAAAAATGACATGCACACAATTATTATTTGCGTATATAATTGCCATCAAAAAAGTCTTAAATATAGTCTTATCTAATGAACTGAATGTATACAATAATACTTATAAGACTACTGTATAATATACTTCCATACATACTTATATTATATATTATTTAATGAGATTTAATACACAATTTAATGCTTTATTTTATTCAATGTGTTATGAAATGTCAATGAATTTGTTTAGACACATAACTGGATGCTATTTGATTTATTTGTATGTGCAACAAAAAGTAGTTTTATTTTAGATTTAAATGATTTATTTGTTAAAGTATTAGATAAGATGACAAACGAGTGTAAGTTATATGACATGCAATTATGATAATGTTGTATGCACTTACTGTACACAATGTTTTAGCTAGGCTCTTTGTTAACCAATGATATATTTATAGTGTACTATAAGTTTGATCGCAAAGTGAAATACAAAAGGCTCACAAAGACCTGCAAAATATGAACTCTAATGAGTGTTTGTTTGGGCAAAAGTGGTCAGAAGTGGTCAATACATCTGCCATATCTGTCACTGATGTTTGTGGGCTCATACACGACACAAACACTGGACTTATATACCTATAAATAACTGATGGAGTGATCAGTGGATATGCAAATCAGACTTGTTTCACACTCCTGTGCCAAATATATTGTGTATTTTCATACCAATCACTATATGTTTATCCATTCACTACCCTGGTACATTGTTATTGTGTGTTGTATTGTGCGGTCATAGCAAGTGAATCGGCCGATTAAGGCACCCGACTGTGTCTTACTATTGACAGTCACATCCCTATCCACATGTACTGTATATACAAAAACAGCGTTCAATAGGCCATCAAAAGCTATATTTCAATTGAAATGTTTAGTGAACAGTAAGAGCATCACTACTCAGTGATCAATGCCAGGGCTATACCCCTAACCCACACACACATAGAGCATAGATTTGAAGGGACTTTTAAGCAATGAGTACTAAAACGGCAATAACTGGACTCATATTTAGTGCACACAGCGTTTGGAAAGCATTTTCATTGCAATGATTGCGATATAAGGCACTTATAATAATCAAAATGTGCTAGAGTCGGTGCGCTATTTTTTCCATCCATTTCCATCGCCATACACCAATTCAATGGCTATGAATGAGTGGCTCAAGTGAATAGAGTTGTTGCTATACCAGTGCTCTCAGAACAATGCCATATACCATACCATTTCCCCGGTAATACACAATACATATGCCATATAATAGCACTTCACTAAATGCCACACTAACTGCTCGCTTCTTCATCTGATAGCCATTTTTAATGCCTTTCCCCTAATGTATTAAATAATTATTTAAATGAAAAACTTCACTCTCAGTGTATAATACGGTGTGTGTTATTAGATCCGAGACTAATAACACACACATATAACCAAGAAATATGAATAAAAAAGAGTTTTTAACTTATTTTTAAAGCTAAATTGAAAATGTTTTTTTGAGCCATATTTCGCTGTATGTATGGCAAAGTACGGCTACATTTTCACTGATAGTATGAAGTTTTTAGTGAAAAATGATTAATAATTATAGTTAGTATAGCAAACTTATTTAGTGAATACATAAGAAACATTAGAGCTGTTTATCTATAATAATCATCACATCATTTTCGTGGTGGTAAGTCATACATGTGTGTGTTAGGTGCAGGTGCTTCACTCGCATTTAATGTCTGGGCGCCTAATATATTGACTTTAAAGGCATAATAAATAAATTTAGCGGAAATTTTTTATTAAATTAAACCCGTAAGACAATAAAACACAATACATAATATAACTGGTGTTTTATTATTATTATATTAACTTACATAACGTAATAACATGGTATAATAGCTTTGCTTTTTATCATTCAGTTTTATTTATTTAATTTTCTTATCATCCGTTTTTAGTTAAACTCCTTATTATAAGCAAATCTATAAATCAAACCATAAGATGAGCTCAGATTTGATATTTCGGTCGATTTAATAAAAAACATAAATATAATGCTATAAATGCTGTAAGCATTATACAATACAAAACTATTTTATACTATACTCCCCCTCACACACACACACCAAATGTGTGTACAAACTCGCAATGAATGAGCTTGAATGAATTATTAACTGGTGTGTGCACTCGTAGTATATGACATACAGGTGCGTAACATGTAGTTTAGTCTACTGGTGCCGTAATAGCTATGGATAGGGCGGTACGGATTCGCGACATTAGAGTTACTTTAATCTTATTTATAGCGCTGATGGAGTGGTAGTACATTGTATAGTGTAGGTCCTCCCGGTAGAGCATGTATTTTAAATACACTTTCAAACATAATCATATGAAAGCACTTTCCCTCCTATTGTCTGTCGAGGCTACCAGTGCTGTGCGAAGTCATTGACGTATTTTTTATGGCGCACGCGATGCGTGTCCAACACGTGCGCCTGAATTGACTCACTTTTTATGCTATTAAACTAACTCTGGATGTAACTTCACTTTTAAAATTTTAGTATATTTAGTGACGTTTTCACATGTGAAACACATACGGAAACACATGTAACTAATAGTGAAACCCTAGGTAGCTATACTTCGAAACTGTGGTGTACTCTCACTATTCAATCGACGTTTTCTTTAACACAATAAATATTTTGCTCTTTTATTTTGGTTTTTTAAAAATACATTTTTTCCCTCCGATTCCTCCGATATATTTGTTATATATTTTTATTTATATATAATATTTTTTAGTTTACTCCTCAATGCTATTCAATCTGACAAAAGCAGTGCAAAAATCAATTCGTTTTTCTCAGTGAACACTACCAAAAATCATTCAGTTTTTTCACTTTCTCTCTCTCTCTCTCTCTCTCTCTCTCTATTCGTAAACAAATTGAATTCATAACAGAAAACAGGGAATAATGTGTTCACAGAAAACTGTAATAAAATGTATGTGTATTGCAGTGAAATATCTTTTCGGGAAACCATACATACGTTTATATGTTTGATTCCCTGCTCTCTCTCTCTCTCTCTCTCTCTCGGGGATTGTATTTCCTTTGTAAGTTATGAAAGAATGTTTATATATGACATATTGACTCATAATTTATTAAATATGCGGTTAGCTAAAGGGAAAACATTCAGTTGAGATAAAAGAAGATTTGTCAATATCTATTCGTTAGGAATTCAGTGAAAAGAAATATTAATAAAAAGTGGGAAAATAGCATAATTTGTAGCAATAGTGGTGGCGATCATTGTGCGGGCGATACCTTTACTGCCAAAAGACGTGATACCAATTGAATCAATAGATCTAAACACACGAGTAGTGAAAGTGAAGTGAAAGTAAAACATAAATATAGAGACGACGGGAGAGAGAGAGAGAGAGTCGGAGGAGAGAGAGGATTATGTTTGGAGTAGAGGTTTGACTGTTTGCTGTGGCAATAGCTATGCAATAGAGGGCTCATCAGTCTGGCAGATGGTCGCCTCCACTCTCTATCTACTTGTTATACACATAGTGTGTATTCAAACACAGCGTTTGGAGTGTATATACCATACCATGTCTGCGATGGATGTCCAACACTACTACTACCAGTGCCACTACACTATAGGGCCAATTGTGGCCATTCCTCGCATCACAATAGCACTGTGTTTGTTGAGGGGATTTACTCCTTATTATTTAGTAGTGGTTTAGTAGCGATAGAGAAAATGTAGCCTGATGTGCTTAATACAATGCATACACAATAAGCGTATTTCGCTCATAAAACAGTGATTATTATTTGCAAACAGACTTACAGTGCAGTAGTGCATAGACTATACACTGTAGTAAAGGCTATACAAAGAAATTTTTAACTCAAAAACTTAGTGTTCAGTGATTATTGGTTTGCAAAACACCAGTCCTTCCCCGGGTTTTGCGGCCAGGGATTAGCATCGGATATGAGTATATAATATACTGTACTATTATATCAGATGGGGGGAACAGGTGGACAGTTAGCTGTATTTATAAATTCATTTCGTTTATATTTATATACACTTGCTATTTAGATATAGTTATCAACACTTGAGTACAATTGAATGAAAAGGCACAACACATATGCCATACATCCCTATCCCTTAACACTTTGTGTGTGCGATCCGACAGCCAATCCATTGAATCAACAGAAATGAATGAATAAAAAGCAGAAATTTATAATATATTTGAAAATTTGAATAAATAATTTGCACAGAAATCCGAGATGCCTTTCCCCTCTCACTCTATGTCGGCAATGATTTCCTTTAAATTAGAAAATTTATTCACAAAAAGAAATCAAAAGAAATGAAATCAAGAAAATGAGTGAAAAGTGAGAGCAGAGGCAGAAGTCGGTGCGAATTTGATGTGATTTGATGTATAAAAATAAGATGGATCAATTTTGTGCGTAAAATGAATTAACAATATTTTTTTGGTGAATGAAAAATAAGAAATGAATGAATTATATCGTGTTTACAGAAAATTATGATCAGATTTATAGGTCTTAATTTGAATCTATACTTACAATACAACATACAATAGGGATGAGAGAGAGAGAGAGAGAGAGAGAGACTGGGGAGCTGGTGGTATACGAGTGTATATGATATACAGTTCCCCTAAATGGGAATGGAGTTGTTGGGCGTTCCGCTAAATTTGAGCGTCACTTTGAGCTCTCATTTCATTTCATTTTCTCCATTCAACTCATTGCCAATGCCTTAAAGCAGAGATAGTTTTCCGCATTTTATTCATTGCTTTTCGTATATTCTTTATATGACGAGAAAAAAAAGACAATTCTTCTGGAAGTGTAGAAACGCTGCGGAGAGTGAACGCAAAAAACCATAAAAATTATCTCCTTTTGTACTCTCATTATAATAATCTTCAAAAATGATAAACATATCAACTTTTTTCCCCACTAATGTCATATCGTGTGTATAGTAAGCGACTCGTAGTTTATAGTTATTTAGTAGAGTTAAAAAAGTTTGCACTTTCTTATACCCACTATAATATGTGTAATTAAAATGAGTAGAGATTTATAGATATTTTTGTTATTATCATCTATTCATTTGTTTTAATTCTTGTATTTTATATATAACTCGCAAAAGGTTACGCCGGTTCGTGACCCATGGCCTCAGTCCCAGTAATTGATCAGAAAATGAAATTAACTCTTAATCTAATTAAAGAGTTTGGAGTAAAGATTGCTTATATGGGAGGCAATCGCATTAAATTTGAGCGTCACTTTGAGCTCTCATTTCATTTCATTTTCTCCATTCAACTCATTGCCAATGCCTTAAAGCAGAGATAGTTTTCCGCATTTTATTCATTGCTTTTCGTATATTCTTTATATGACTGCAGAAAAAAAGGAGACAATTCTTCTGGAAGTGTAGAAACGCTGCGGAGAGTGAACGCAAAAAACCATAAAAATTATCTCCTTTTGTACTCTCATTATAATAATTTTCAAAAATGATAAACATATCAACTTTTTTCCCTACTAATGTCATATCGTGTGTATAGTAAGCGACTCGTAGTTCATAGTTATTTAGTAGAGTTAAAAAAGTTTGCACTTTCTTATACACACTATACTTTCTTATACGTGTAATTAAAATGAGTAGAGATTTATAGATATTTTTGTTATTATCATCTATTCATTTGTTTTAATTTTTGCAATTTATATATAGCTCGCAAAAGGTTACGCCGGTTCGTGACCCATGGCCTCAGTCCCAGTAATTGATCAGAAAATGAAATTAACTCTTAATCTAATTAAAGAGTTTGGAGTAAAGATTGCTTATATGGGAGGCAATCGCAATGCTAACCAACAAAAAGATTAGCGCTATTTATATGAATACACTTATTTGTACGGCAAGAATGACTGCTAATAACTATTTAATTAGATTTCTAATAAAATTTATTCAAGTGCCTAGCTAAATGGCTATAGCAAAATGAATAATAATAGGTCGTTGTGTTAATGTGTTGAACGCCAACACACAAATCGATGACTAGTTTTCGCAGACATAAGGAACTCCTATAAGGAACTCCTAATCCTATGATTCAATGAATACACGAAAAATACAAACAGAAATAAATTCCTATGAATTGGTGTCCAATAAAGTGGTATATTTTTGTGTGATTGTCCGCACATTAGGTATGGTTTCAGAACCGGAGGGCGAAGTTCCGAAAACAGGAGCGCCTGAACCAACAGAAAAGCGGATCGGGAGGAGGCGGTGGCCAGTCGTCCAACTCGAGCACCAGTAGCCAACAGAATGGGACGAATACGAACAGCAACGGCAGCACTAATAACGTGAGCGCCGGCGGTAATAATCAATCGTCGAGTAGTAATCTGGAAAGTGCTGGGAATGGCAGTCAACAGCATCAGCCCAACAGCAGCCAAAAGGCTGATACGACCGCATCAGCAGTCGCTCAACAGCTTCATCAGCAAAACACACCGTCAGCTAAAGAGATCAAAACTAATCCCGAGAAGACAATGAATGGTATGATATTTAAATCATTTGAAAGGCAAACAAATGTATATAGACTATAGAGAGAGAGAGAGAGAGAGAGAGAGAGAGATGATGTATGTATACAAGTATATAGTGTTTTGTGATGAGCGACGAGTTTGTATGTAATTTGCGCTTGATGAATAACATGGATGCTAAATGATTAAAAATATTTTTAATCAATAAAGTGTTGCTGTGCTAAATGAGTATATATTTTTGGTTTTTTGATTAGTATTCATATTTATTATGAACAGTAATCGTAATACAAGTTTTGATTAAAAAGTTTTGTATTTGTATGCAATATCTAAATGGATTCAAAAATGAATGCAAATTCACAAATGCATTGACCTTTTGGCCATAAATATCTGTTTAATGCATAAAACTATTCTTGAAAACAATTCTTAAAAATAGCATAAAATAAAAAATATCAGCGTTGATGTGAACCGATGTGTAGATGACGTACGGATTCATAGCTTGATATCGCATTTGGTTCACTACTCATTGCGAGAGAGAGACTGTGAGAGAGAAATAAGGATTTAATTTATAGTTACAAACGAAACCTTAATTTCTTAATCAATAATTTTCGTTATAAATTGTGAAACATTAAATCGTATGGTATTTAGTTATAAGAGTCAAAAACGGTGACACAAATAGCTAGTAAACAACGACTACTCAAGACTTTAAGAAATTAAATATTTTTAAAAGGATCGCAAGTTTTTGAAACTTCTAAAGTATTTATTTGTTTGTACTGCACAAGTAGTCTATAATACCCCATATCTTATTATATATGATATTTAGTGTGCTTTCAAAGGATTGCCTACAAACTAGTGGTACAGTACTGTGTTATCGTATCGGTGCTGTTGTTTTGGGCAAAAGACAAGACAATAATCATTTGCGTCACTTAAGGGTGTCTTCTCCGTGGCTGACAGTAATGGAAACTAATGGCTGAGCCATGCGATGAGACTCCCGACGACTACTCCACTAAACATAAGGGCCGCCAGAAAAAGCATTTAGCGAATTGAAACCATCGCTACGAAAACCAACTACTCATTGCATGCCTTTCCCCATCTCTCCCAATGAGTCTGTTATGTGTCGGTGTATGTGCTCAGTGTCTACTGTATGTCAGTATCGCCAAAATGCCAGTGCCTTTAGAACATAGCAATGAATAGGAGATTGAGAGTACTAGTGAGAGGGCTGTTAGCCTATGTTTGGCTACTTTTTGTCTTTTTGATAAGTTTTTAGCTAAAATGCTAAGTAATGAACGCTGTATTGCATGCGAAACATATATTACACTTTCACTTATCTCTTAAATATATATAGTTTTTTGTTTGTGTTTTTGCAAAGTATTAAAGCAGTGTTTTTGTTGTTTCTAACTATACATCCCTGGCTCAGACACACACTCACAAACTTTTGCACTCATATAACATATAAAGACATTATTGTGATTACATTTCCAGTAGTCGTTTCGCATGTATTCCCTGTGTTTAAGCATTTTTTTGCCAGCATTTCATACTAGAGATAGAAAAAAGAGGTAATTTAGACGAAAGAAACACTATTTATCTAAAACTAATGGTTAATTTCGAGAGCAAAATCATCTAAATTAGAGACACAAAAGTAAATTGCAAATTACTTTCTCGTTTTCCCATTTTATGTATTTATACATTTAATTTGCTTTTAGATACACCAAACACAAGCTGTTTATATAAATCATTTCTCTCTCTCTCTCTCTCCGTGTGTTTTCAGACATCAATTCATTTTAACTTCAAATGCAAACGAAAATAATTATTGTCTGAAAAAATTTCCTTTTAATAGCCGTACAAATTGGCGATAGTTTGTTAGTTTGCTCTCTCTCTCTCTCTCTCTCTCTCTCTCTCTCGTTTGTGTTTTTATGCGTTTTTCTCGCTATTTGTTAATTCAATTTATAGGTTAATTAAGACTATTATATGCAAAAGGATTTTACACACACACATTAAATAGGCTTTCCATATAACAAACGGCATTCACTTTTCACTCATTAGATTGTGTGTTGTGTTTAATAAATAGTTAAAACACAATTGTCTTGTAATAAAATTATCAATATTACAAACCTAAACAATTGCTTGACATAATACAAATTCATATGAATAGCATGCTATAATATTTTATTAATGCGATATTAATACTGAGCTATATGAATTTTATCGATCTATACTAGCATATTATAGTAATTTAATAACTCAACATTTTATGTAATATATTTGGATATTAATTAAATAATTTTATTGAATATAATTATATTAGGAGTCGCAGACAGAATAGCAAAAAATAATAATATAATCTTTGATTTATATAAATTTAGACTAATTTGTGTGTTATTTAGAAAAACCATTTCTTATTATAGTTTGGTATTCAGTAGCGAATTGAACGAAAAGGAAATATCAATTCAAATGCCTTTTATATATAAACTTTGAATTGTTTATCAAATTATCAAAACAATTGATCTCAGAAATCAAATTTATTTGTTTGATCTCTCGCTGTGTGTATTTGTGTCCTAAAGGCTCGTACACTACAATACTATATACACTCGGAATCGACGGATAAATTCAATCAAATAGTATTTTATGAAATAATATAATATAAGACAATATTATAGTTATTTGAAAGTCTTATTATCCGATCATTTTCTACAGTCTCTTAAACATAAGTAGCGTTTCGATCGTAAAATCGTTTTTATATTTTTGTTAGATTTCGTGAAAAACAATTTTAAACCCATTTTTCGCTCCCATTTATCTGTAGGAAAGATCAGTAGTCCTCACAGTCAGTCGCTGTCATCGATACCTCAGTCACCCATACCTACGTCGATACCGAAGTGGATAACGCCGAGCCCTGTGGTCACGTCGAGCGCCCACCTATCGTCGCATAAGCTATCGGCCGGCCTGGTAGCCATGTCTCATCAGGGTATACCCACCTCATGTCTAAGTACCAACTTCCTCATGAGCGGCAATCACCCAAACGGTGGTCACATTCATAGCGGATATTTGCCTCACGTGGACAGTAAGGCAAACATATCACCGCAAATATTTTGAATTTGTGCCAACATACACACACAAATACACCCGGCTAACATTTGTGTAAATAGTAATTATATATACAGTATAATATATGGTATAAAAAGTGTATAAATGATCTATATAATTTATTCCAATGATTTTTGTTGTGTCCGATAAGCTGCTGAAAACAAAGTGTATAAATATTATTGTAAAACATTTTAGCGGTCGAGAGAAGCACTAAGAAAAGCAAATTAATTAACTTATAGTCGATTATATGACAAATGCATTGAAATTATAAATAATTTTTTTAAACTGAATAACTCTTACAATGAATTTTAAACCCGACTATAAGTTGTCAAAATGAATTACAATTGAATATGTATTTAAATTATTGTTAATTCAATAGATTACCTGCTTTTAAGTTAAATTGAAAATATATTATAAATTCAGTGATGAATAGCTTGGTTGAAAAATTTAAAGCAAATTTAATTTTTATTAAATTATTACTAAAATTAACACAAATTTTTAATGAATAGATTTGTCAGTAAGATTATAAATAAGAAATTCACAATTCATTTTAATAAAATTATAAATTCCCCTGTTAAGATTATAAATTTTTAAGCTAGAAATAATTATTTAAAAAATTACTTTAATTTTATATAATTTTTCAATATGTATTTCATTTAAAAATTACTCGTAATTTACATTTTCAATACTACTGTATGTTATAAATTAAATACTATAATAATTTAATTTTTGTTTTAAACAACAAAATCAAAGGCAAAAATCTTTAATTATACAAATGATTTAAAAATTACTGATAATTAAACGAAAAACAACTTTTATCTTGTACAATTTAAACCAAATTATATTAATATATAAATAATACGAAAAATTGAAAATAAAACGACAAAACTTTAAATAATTATTTGTATATCTATTGAAAGCAAGACTTAAAACACACACCAAAACAAATTAATTTGTAATATAATTGTTAAGAGGTTTCTGTCCAATTTGATGGGAACAGTAGCTGTAAGTATAATACATGTACGACTGTATGTATGTATGGAGTGGAAGGGGATGTGAATATGGGATAGGAATGCATAAAAGGGTGCGTTTAAGTCAAGAATTGATGCGAGAATCTGTTGTGACATTTTAGGTCTATAGGAGAAAACCAATGAACGGCTTTTGAAAAATGGGAAATTTCTGGCGGATGACAGGCCTGTGTTTGTATGCGTGTGTGCCTCGCCTTCACATGTAGTTTCGTTAGGCTTTCCAGTGACGCAAAAATCAATGGATTTGATGCGACGCCACAAAAGTTTAGACAAGAGATGTGATGCCTGTGTGTGCGAGAGAGAGAGAGAGAGCGAGAGAGCGAGAGAGAGAGAGCGAGAGAGAGCGAGAGAGAGAGAGAGAGAGAGCGAGAGAGCGAGAGAGAGCGAGAGAGAGAGAGAGAGATGTAAAGCAAGCAAACGAGAGACGATAGTAAGTAGAATACAGAGGAATGATAGGCAGGCCAGGGATGCCTCAGCGTTGTGTTCAATCTTTCAAAGTCTTTTGGCAAAACAGGCGAAACACATCTTGAATTAGGGAACAGACAGACAGTCGGATGAGTCGATCCCAGCATCTGATGGCATATCACGAGAGATGAGATGAAGAGCACAACAAAAATCGTTGAGAATATAGCGATGCGATTGTGATTGCGATAGCAATTCGCTGAGTGAAGCGATTCTTGCAATTCTTGTAATGCATTGAACACTACCACCACTTCTCTCTATCTCTACCACTACTGACACTACCACTACTAGACTACCAGTGCTGGAGATGATGCCTCCAGTGCTCATCCAGAGCCTACTCTAACAATATATATAACTTTCCTTTAGTTTTTGGTTTAGAGATTGTATAGCCGTTTGTGAATACAGTGTATAACAACTGCCAACTGCTCGCAAACGTTCAAATAAATTGAAATTTGCTTTCTCTCTCTCTCTCTCTCTCTCTCTCTCTCTCTCTCTTTCACCACTTATTTGTGTCAATATAACAGAGAAAATATAATAACAGAAGCATTCATATATACTTTCGTAATGAAAAAACGTGAAATTAATTTAGAAATTAAACTAAACTTTTAAAATCCGGAAATAAAAACAAAGAAAATTCATTTTCCAGGCATTTAATGATTAATTCATTAAATCAATGGATATTTTAATCATTTCTGATATCAAACAGCATTTCTGACACGACTTCTCCGTCGATAATACCGGTGCTGACGACGACGCGAGTGATGATATGAGGTTTGCCGTCGCCGTTGAGACACTTTCCTATAGATAACGCGCTTATGATTGCTATGATTTTGATGCACTTTCTGTGTGCGAGGGATCACCAGAAAAGAAAAAAAACAGACAAAAACTGTTACCAATTGTCAGATAATACTTGTATATCAGATAAGACTTGTGTCGAAAAAATTCAATCAAAAAACACTATCGATTTCCTAGAGTGTATATCCATAGGAAAAAACATACCTTCCTTTCGGTGACTACACGTCTGGACTCAACAAATCTGGTCTTTTGGGTGACTTTGCACAGGGCTTTGTAGTGGTTTGAGGGTCGGGACATGTTGGGACACTTGCTGGCCGGTGCCCCCGCTTGATACGTCTCTAAGCCTATGTAATTACCTCCCGGCGCGTAATTACAGGTGTATAGCTGGGCCACCTTATAAATGGAGTTGGGAACGGCGTATGAAACGTATCCACACCCGACCTTTTGAGTGTCAGCCCACACGACCTAATAGATACCATACCATACAATAGATATATATAATTAGTTATATAATAAAAAACGCATTCATACACACAGTATAGTAAATAGTAGTCTGTATTGCCTATAAAAATGAGAGTATATATGCGTAAAAATGCTTATTATATAACAATAATATCTATATATTTGTTGATTTATACGTTTAGCAAGGTCGCACGAAAATTGCTAATAAATTTGCCGCAAATTGTATTTAAAAGCTGTTTTAATGATGATTATTGAATTTATTAGACGACCTAAACATGGTGTTACGGCTTATTATAGATGACGAGAGACACTGTTAACTCAATTTAAGGGCCAATAATATAATTTATTATAACGTTATTGAATTGAGAGCTGCCTTTTTGCTATACTTACGCAGTTATTGTGAGCCTGCAAAGTAAATGACACTAAAATTATTATTAAATTAACTAAAATTATTTAATGTTTTCGCCAGAGATCTCTGACATACACAGACATAGACATCTCGATACATGCCGTTCCCACACAGGCTTTAAGATGGTTTTCCTATCTCTCAGCGATCTTTAAATCAAATGTTTTCTCTTATAAGATATATAAGACACTCAACTGTTCGTGTGATTAATTGCTGGATACTAATCATCTATTACATCTCAAATCACTAATAAATTCCATCGATTCGCTAAATATTCATGGTAATTAATCATCGGGCTAAATGTTTTCTACCACCATATGATTTTAGTGACATAAGTGTATTACAGTTGCATTATAAAGCAAATTATTCAATCATTTGCTATATTATGTTAACAAAATCAAATATAACAATTAAATTATAGTAACTATAAAATGATAAAATAGTATGTTACTTATTTATCAAGCAAAACTATTAATATTAATATCGTAGCAAAAGTTTTTGAAAACCATTTCTCAATAGTATATGTAAAACAAGCAAAAAAATCAAATATTTCGCAATTTTTATGTCAAATAATAGATCGAATTCTTGAAGAATAGGAAACTTTTTATTATTTGATTTGAAACCCAAATCTTATCCTAAAAATGTTAACATTTCTCAAACTGAAGGCTTTATATAGAAATAAAAATCGAAACTATTTTTAATATTAAGCAAAGTCTCGACTATATTAATGCAAAATTAGTTTTCTAACGAATAGCAAAATTTTTAAAAAATATTAACTACTTAAAATTAGTTAGTATCGTATATTAGGGTTATGGGAACGGTAGATACTTGTGTAAAGTGGCCGATATTGAGTTGACTGGACTGAAACTGATTGACGATAGTGTTGGGCGCTATGTTGAGCTCGTCATACCATAACTGGATAGCGTATTGCCATCTGTTTCGCACCGTTAGACTCGACGTGCGGTACAGGAATATATTCTGGCCCACCGTCGCAAACCTATCTACAAATACTACACTTTTTTAGCTAACATACCCTTATGACAGCAATTCTCCAATCTCCACATACCTGTCCTGCGGCACTGGTAGCAGTCGTGCCCGAAGTGACACTGGGAGGCGTGCGCCTGGGCTACGGCGGCCAACTCGTGATCCCACTCCAACATCAGCATATTGGCCGACGAGGGAAAGCCTCTTTGGGTCTCATTGCCGCTGGCGATGGAGTTTCGCAGCTTATTGTGTGTGGCGATTATGGTGGCGATGTCGTAGCTACTGACCCCCGACTGACACCCCATTCCCGTCATTAACACATTATACGGTAGAGGAGTTACTATGCATTACTTACGGCAAGTATATGACAATCACTTTTAGGCTGTTTGCACGCCGTGTGGTTTTCATCGTATTTTAGGTAAGTTTGGCTACAGATTTGACTACATTTTACGCAACTAATGATAATTAAAATTGTAAGCAAGTATAATTTAAAGCTAGCAATTAATAATTGAAGGCAACAGGAATTAGTATAGGGAGAGATATGACACCAAGCCGTCTGTGACATAATCAGGACTAACGGTGCGATAGTGGCACACCATCTGGAAATGTGTGCTCGGATGACATGTCTAACCCTTTTGGTCTTAAAGTTTTAATACATTTTTAGTTTTATAGCATTTTTTATAGGATTATGTCTCGAGACAGACATAACCACAACTTAATAGTTAAAAGGTTTTCATATATGTCTGGCGTTTGAAATAATTTATAAAAATAAGAAATATTTGAGAATTGATTTGCTGTCAGAGGAAAAGGAGCTCTCAATTAAGGGATTTATATTTGAATACATTTCCATTACATGTATAAACTATGCCAGCAATCAATCACTTTCAAGATGTTGTGTTACTTTTTAAAACAATACATTATTAAGGATTGAGATGAGTTTTATTAGACTTTAATTGCTATCAATATAAATAAGTGCTCATAAAGTTCACGTTAAGTGGAAAATCATAAAAATTAATTACAAAATATTTGTGGATAATTTATTATATCCGCAATAAATATTCAGTAGTAGAGTACAGTAATTACTACTTTATAACTACCTTGTAATGTACTCTAGAATTAACATTATATAATGTATATTGATAAAATGTGCCCTTAACTTATACTAAAGTACTGTACTGTGGAATTTTGCTTTAAATAAATGAACTTAATATACCATGATAACAATAAAATAGTTTATAAAAACTCTGTAAATGTGTGTAAAAAGTTGTTTAAATATCACAATTTCTAATATAAGTCATGTATTTATAATATTAATAGCGATCAATCATTACCAAGTATAATCACACACATACACGAATCTATCATCATATCACTACATATGATTGCTTTCATATCGCAAAATGGGTTTAACTTTTGTTTTTTAGTGCAAAACTATTTTTAATTATCATTTGTTGCCATAAATCAAAGTCCACTATATATCGACGATCCAGTACCTCCACCCCTTACATCCCGTATAATTGGCAATATTGATGAACACAATTGAACTCCAAGTCATAAATTGGCAAAAGTTGTTAAAAACATTTTTGTATAAACTCTCATAAACTATAAGATTAATTGATATATTTTTATTATCCATACAAACAATTGCCATAATCGTAAACTAACTACTCATTCAAAAAAACTAATCTAAAGTTTTCGTTGTAATCAAAGTTCATCTCTCGATGTCTTAACCTCCAGACACCTCTCGTTGGACGCGATGATGATGTGGTGGTAAAAGTTGACGAGTTTTACGTAATTATCAACGGATATCCGCTCGTCGTGGCCGTGGATGCGGGGCAAGTCGTCCACCGCTATATACGCCGGTGAGAAACGGTAGATATTTCTCGTGAAGTTCAGGAACCAACGGGTGTCGGTCGCGGCTGTCATAATGCCCGGTATGACCACCACTTTGGGGAACACCTGTCGGATGCTCTTCTTGATGGTCTGAAAGCCGAAACTCCGGTCCCCGTATGGGCTGATAGGATGGGGCTCTATGGGCACGCCCAGCACCTCCACGTGTATGCGCTCGTCGTTTATGACTTCCCGGTCGAAGTCTACCGTTTCCGACACCGAACTCAATGGGTATATCCGGTGGTTAATAGTAGCCGACGCCTCGTCCGGTAGTATATTGTCCTAAACGAGTGGTCAGTATATTATCTCACTTTTGTCCCACATTTATAGCAAATACTTTGCAAAACACTCAATAATTATGCGCTAATTATTAGCATTTAATCTGTATATCATTGGTAAGCAATGGTAGGCATCGGGAAACGTATGGTTTGAATGCGATTTTGAATGCTAACCTTAACGCCGCTCTTAAACATTGTGACCGCAGTGGTAGTCCTTACGTAGCTATTCATAACTAAATGCTTTTCTAACAGTTTGGACACAATTGGACCGAAAAGCCAGAGGTTTGCGAATAAGACTTTGTAAAAGTAGGTGCAATAAGGGGCCAGGGCTTCAATCATGTCCTTCTCGAGACCCATACCGAAGTTATTCGGGTGTATGTGTCCACCAAACTTGGACACCGCCCTCGATAGCGACACTATCGACGTCTCTAACGGCGGTACCGATGAGTGACCCACCGTTCCCTTAGCGGTGAGCTTGACGTTCAGGAAACCCTTTTCGGTGACCCCGATCATGGCTACGGAGCGGTCGGTGCCCAACAGCACCCCATCTAATATGAAGGGCCCCTCGTCGAGGATGAACTCAAACTCGTGGACACCCGTCGAGCGCAAGTAGTGGGCGGTCTGTCGGGCGCCGTCCAGACCCCTGCCCTCCTCATCGTGACCTATGGCTATATATAAGGATCTTTGAAATGAAAATCTACTCTCGAGTAAGAATTCAAGTGATTCTAAAAGGCCCTAAACGTGAGGAACCGGATGTCATTTGTCAAACACATGTGTCGTGAGTATTGCTTTTTTATAGCTTAAGATTCAATACCATCACCACATCCTTGAGGTCCAGCGTCCCCCTGCCGTAGATATAGCCGTCCCGTACGGTGCCGGCGAATGGTGGTACATGCCATTTGTCATCCTGGGCCGGCACCACATCCATGTGCGCTAACAGTAGGTATGGCTTTAGAGTGTTATCAGCGCCCCGGATGTGATAGAGAAGGCTTCGCTCATTGATTATCTGAAGTGTCACTGATTTGGATGAATGAACTAAAGGAAAGCCTATTGTTTCGAAACACAGTTTGTCATAAAAAGTATTCAATTAATTTGACGCTAGTATATAAAAATGATTTCATAAAAAATATGATAATGAATGATACGATACTTCTGTTGAGAAACTCAATAAAAAGTTGTATTTGTTTGTCATCGTAATCGTGAGGGGCTTTCGTGATAGTCTGCAGTCGGAGGGCTTGTATGAATCGGTCGACCACTTGTCGCTCGCCATCGGTGATGGGCTTGTGTTCATCGATGTGCTCGCAATTGATCAGCTCTTGTGGTACCGGGAAGTATAGAGCGGTTCTCAGGAGTACTATCACTATGAGAGCGGTTGCGAGTCCGCCGGCAATGAGCGCACATTTGGTTAGAAAAAGTTTAGCCATTTTTTAGCGCAACTTTCATGCGTTATCTTAACTAAAAAGGCATTCAATTACATAAGCACTCGTTGTATCAAAAGTCATAGTCAAGAGTACAGTAACTTATTATATAATTATCGATAACTAAAGCCTATATAAAGTGGGTTAAAGATAACATTACTTTTTTCCCAATCGAAGTGCATTAATAGTGTGAATAGGATTTTTTATAATGAATTTTGTTTTATTGTACATTCAATGGGGAAAATGATAAAAACATAAAAAGAGGAAAATATGTTTAATTGGAGCCACAAATCGGGAACACATTCATAGAAATTCATTGATATATCGATACAATGTATGGTTTCATAACAAATTCCTCAACAAATTTTTCGCTGCAAATCCTTCACTCATTTTGTTGTTGACACCAAATTGAGAGCATATATGAGATTGTATTTAATTATTAATGCATTTCATGAATAGCGCTATTATACTAACATGTTATTTATTATAATTTATAAACAACTACTGAATAACTTAGAAAATTGCTAGCTAATACTGTCACAGTTAAATCGCATGATTCAATAAAATAGCGAAATATTTGCGTCAATTATTGCTGGAAAGATGTGACACAAGTTTTTTAGCACTAATAGTAATCACGGGCTCTACTAATGGCAAGAATTCATGGTTAAGCTGTTTATCACTAATCTCTGACGGCGTCAACACATCATAACATGTATGTCTAATCGGGTTGTGGTGTATCGGACCAACTGTTGGCACATTATGTTTGGTACAAACTAAGAGCACTTTTCTCGGAAAATCATTGCCTCTATCGGTGCTCTACACTTGAAATGTGCAACACTTCACACATAATAGTAATCATAGACATAGAGAACACAGCACTTAATACACGATAAATCAAAACTCTTTTAATTGTTCCGCAAATTCATTGTAAAATATACTTCATATTTGATTGTCTTATGTATACATCTCTATGTTTCCCTAATTATAATGAATTTACGTATGTTTTCGAGTCACAAAACTTGAAACTTCAAAAAAAATAGTTGGCATTTATCCCAAGGAATGCATTTCATTGCAAAATATCTCTCTCTCTCTCTCTCTCTCTCTCTCTCTCTCTCTCCACAAAGATATTTACAAATGTATCATACGTTTGGTTTCAAAGTCACGGTATCTGTCATTTCCTTCTCAGATAATGATATTTACGTCTATTTGCTCTCAGAAAATGAAATATAAAACAATAAAAATACACAACAGTTTTTAGATAATAATTTACGGCCTTTTATTAAATTTCATAAACAAATTACTCAAACAATGAGTGAATGATTTTTGTTTTGCAATTAGACAACAATTATAGTTTTAATGGCGTTTATAAGATTCAACTAATTATATATATATAAAAACTCGTCACTTATATAATTAAATTTACAGATAGTTTGTCAGTAAATCCCGAGTCATTTAGTGCAACGATTTCTCTTTCATAATAACAAGCATTTAATTCATTTAATTACAATTCATATCAAAGGGTTTTGCGTAAAAGTCCTTTGCATAGCAAAGGTGTTTCACCTTTTCATGTTTGAACACAATTTACATGTTATACTCAATGACCACTACATGCTGTTTACATACACTATATTTTACGCAATCATTAGTCTTAAGGATCTAACCGCTGGCCATTGACTATACAAATGATTTTTAAGTGTCCGACAATTATAATGTGTAATAAAAAACTTTTTATATCCCAATAAAACACATAATGATTGCGTAAAACACAGTGTTATAAAACATACATACAGTGGTGTTTACAATTAATAGCCCTTTTAATTATACACATATATAAAAAACAGGTTTGTCGCGACAAATTGAATTATTTTTATTAATTAAAAACAATTTCTCATTTATATATAAACAATTAATTAATAATAATAATCAAATGACAACTTTGTGTTTGTGTCCATTCAATAACTCCATTATAAATATATCAACCATTAGTACATCGGTAACAGATTTGCGAAGATTTTTATATTACTCAATCATCTTGATAAAAGTTATCCTAAACTTACTCTCAATACACAGTATTGTTTAATTATGTAAGAAATAAATTAGTAGTTCAATGTATTTCAATAATATCTAATATTACATTAAATATATACCACAAGAATTGTATAATAATTACTAAAATCGATAATTGAATTCTAGAAAACATCTAAAAATGAGGGCATTTTTCAAATATCCAATAGTTTTCGTGTCAATGAGATAGAGAACTCAGTTAGCGATCGCTATAATCATTATAAATAAGACATACATCACTTGTATGTGAGTTAGGTTACTTTTGTATCAGTTCAATAAAAACAAGTTATATATCATATATCATATAATGACAATGTATTTCAACAACAAATTATGAAAAAATCTTTAAAATTACAATTATTATCGTTTTATATTAAATAACATTAAATAAGTATGTGATTAAAGTTATGAAAACTTGTTTTAAAAATGAAAAACAAAAAACTAAGTGTGGTGTGTGTAAGTATGATCAAGTGAAAATGTTTTTACATAAATATAAATTGAAATATTCAATACAACATTTAATGCACAAAATTTAATTTGTATTACAATTGTATGCAAACAAGTGCCGAAATCCTCGAGAATTTTCGTGTATATAATTTTAGCGCACAATATGTGCTCAGAGTTTGGCCAAAAATCTCAACACTTATTCAGCGATCAAATCATATATTAAATAATGAGTTAATTAAAAATCATGAGTTAATGAATGAATGAGTGAATTAAATATATATATAATATTTGGAAACAATATGGTATCGCCTCATGAACTAAAAGCTCATTTAGTGTTAACATTCATATATAATAATAATCATCAATTAATAATAAGCGTTATTATAGTTAATAATAACTTTTGTTTGTATTATAAATAAGTTCCCTGTATTAAATACAGCACACAAATTGAAACAATAAAATTTGCCATCAAACTTCCCATCCATGGCATCAATAATATTTGTGTCAATAATTGTTTTAGTGATTGTTATATTCAAAAGCGATTAACAACTTTATAATAATAATAATAATCCATACGAAGTGGTCATAACATAACAAATCGCTTTCCCAATGGGAAAGACAACAATGCATTCAAATTCTGTATATCATAATAAAACTTGTCTACAAATTCTGGTCTAAAGTTTACATTTTGTATGTTTTATACAACTTTTGCTATCAAATATTTCCTTTTGATTTTCAGAGTTCGAGTACTAAATGATTATTCAATTTATTAGTCAATAAATCTCGTAAAATATATCAAAATCTCATCGACATGTCGGGCACCAAACACCGGGGTCCGAGACGCGTGATTCAAAAAAGTCGTGTCAATTAAACTAATCAATTCAATGCTTGAGCGCAAACATATAGACTAGAAATACATAGGCTATGAATATCATATATAATTCACACTAAACTTAAACCCATTCAATTGGGTACTCGATTGCAAATCTCATATCAATTTGAATTTATACTCAATTAACAAAAACACTTAACAAACAAACAGTCCGTTTGACGCGACCATCAAACACGACAATTGATTGTGTGATTCAATAGTAATATATTAAAAAGCGTTACAAAAAACAATAACTAAACCCATAATTACTGTAACATTTTGTACGACATGTCAGTAGTCCGCCAGTAGCTGAAGACATCGGTTCCAGTGGTTCATAACTTCTTGGGAAACATCGTGATAATGGCGGCGCATATGTTCTGCGGATTAGTCTCTTCGGGATACATCTCCATCGCTGTCCGCACCTGTTCTTCAGGGAATATCGACGACAAGTGGAAGTATAGCTTCGGGCGCGAGTCAGTCAGCTCGTTGGGCGACACCGACCTCATGGCGGGCGGCCTAACGGCGGTCGGCTGGTGTAGCGTCGGCTTGAACTCGTGTAGGGGCACACTCGACGGCCTCAGGGGCGCCGACGTCAGCGAGTTATGCGAGTTGTGGTCCACTCGGTTCCAGGGGCTCGACGGCACCGGCGGCACAATGAGACCCCCGGAGCTGGTCGACCAGATCTGGTTGGGAAAGGGGGCGGGCGGTGGTGTCATGTTTAGCCGGGTGTCGGACGTCGAGTTGAGTCGCGCCATAGACGGCGAGTAACTGGACGGCCACTGGGATGTGGAGGTGGGGTCGGGCGCCGATGCGTTGCGTGTGACTAATGTGTGCAATGAGTCGTGCGATTGGGCCGCGGAGTAGGCGTTGGGAACGTACAGCAGGTTCTGCTTCTGGATGTTGACGAGCGTTGGGCCGTCGGATCCCAGACGCTTGAGCTGACGGTGCGATTCCGGGCCGCCTCTGCTCTGCTGTTGTTTGGTTCCTATCGGCGACAAGTGATGGTCGGACCGGTGGTGCTGGAAGTTATGCTGCAGCGCCTGTAGCCTCGGGTCGTAGTTCGGGTTTAACGTGAGCTGTCGCTGCAGTTTTCGGTGCAGATTCTCAGAGCTCTTGTGCTGATCCGCATTCATAGTCTGATCGGCGCTGAACACATGCCTCTGGAAGGGCTGCTGCTGTGAGTAGTCATCCAATGGCAACGATTTGCTGGGAATCACAGACTTAGTCCTCGAGAGGGGCTCCTTCTTGCGCGACATATCACCACTGCTCGGCTGTAGTGGCAAACTGTGGCACACCTTCAGCTTCGAGGAGTCGCCGGGACTCGACTCCCGACTCTTACCCCTCGCCTTCATCTCCTGGATCTGGATCCTCGCCTGTTCTGCCAACCGCTCGGTCACCGACTTATGCGGTTGGTTACCCCGCTCCGGGTGATAGTATTTACACTTATTACCGTACGTACACTTCTTGCCGTACGGACAGGGAGGGGGCAACACATCGGGAGGCTTCGGGCGTTTACGCAAAAAGTTGTTCAGCGACGGCCCGTGTCGGCCGAGGGGGTCGTCGGGCGGCATAAACCGGTCGTTCACAAACGAGTACATGAGTAGCCGTTCCTCCACCACCTTCTTGTACTCCGGGTTCTCATTCGTGAGGTCCCGGTAGTTATCGTTGGACACGACTATCCCGTCGTTCTGGGCCGCGAGCTTCAGTATATAGCGGTCGTCGTAGCAGACCATACGCCGGCCCCCGACGTTACGACTCGGGGTAAACACCAGTAGCCTTTCCGCCTCCAACTGCGACAGTATCTCCTGGTCTTTGATGGGGGCGTCCGGGCGGGCCATCTCCTTGCGCCACATCGGCACGAATACGATGATCTCCCGGTGCCCGCGCGCCTGGAACCAGTCCACGCATATCTTAATGCCCATACACGAGAAGCACACTTTGTTGCCGTGACTGACGGCCACATTACTGCCGTCGATCACGATAGGCCTCAGGTTCAGGCTATCGTTGTTGTCCTCATCACCACCGGCGCCGCCATTACTATCACTCATGAGACTCGACACTAACGTCTTGCCCAGACCGCTGAACACCTGAATGTTAGCTCCGGGGCCGCCGGCGCCCAGTTTGATGAGTTCGGCCAACAGTTCATTCTGGCCGGCCGTGGGGCCCAACTTCATGAGCGCGATCTGCACCTGTGTCTCAGTGTAGCCCAGTTTGAGCGCAAACTCCACGGATTTTATGTAATTCGGATCACTGATGATGTGGTCGAGGTATGTGGGCTGCGGTAGGGGACTGGTGGTGATGTACTCGTCGAACTCCTGACCCAATGTGTCCGATATAGTCCGCGACACCTCGTCGTGGTGTCCGCCACTATAGCCGCTCCTCTGGGTGTCGGCCGACTGGCCGTCCGCGTCGTTGTTCTCGTAGTCCGAGTCATAACTGGAGTCCTCGGACTCGAGTAGCCGTCGCAGCGGCTTATCCTCGGATTGCGACGACCAGTGGGCTCCGGGCGCTGCGCTCACGGCTGTGCCCACCACTGAATCGCTGGAATCCATTGAATGGCGTGTATATAGTCGATGGACAGACACTTATCCAACGCATCGCATCGTAAATATTTCCCTTAAATCCTGTCGCGAGTCGCGAAAAAATTAAAACCAAAAAACTTGAGTTAAACTTCAAATGTCATCAAAAAAGTCCACAATATCTGCATTCACTACATAAGAATTGGTTGATATGGGAGTGTAGGGGCTCTGCGAGAGAGTCGGTGCTCGTCCTAACAGATACTAAACGCTATTAAATGTATAACAGTTTTGCAAAACTTTTAGCAAAATACACATTACGTGAACATACACTCTCTGGAGAGCACATACACTCTGGAGGAGAGGTACTTGTCTTGTGAGGCGCTGGGAAGGAGCGCACAGACAGCCAAGGAATGGGCAGAAATGCAAGGCTGGGCTCATACACACAGCACACTGTAGTGTAGGTCCGGTTGCAGGTAATCTAAGCAACATATCCTGTTGGGGAACAGGATCTTCACAACACACACACTCACTCACACACACAGCACTCAATTCAAGACATTAACATAAGACTCACCAAAATCGTGATTTCGTGAACAACTCACTTGAGCCGGATTTCACTCATACCATACCATCCCATCCCATACCTACACACCAACTGAGACCCACTTCTCTGTACTCTATCTCCCAGTCGTCTCTCCCTTCCCTTCCCTCTCTCGTGCCCTCCCAATCCCTCTCCCGGGACGACACACACCACACACTCCGCACACATGTCTTAGTATTTATGAAATGAAAAATGAAAACTCAAATCCAAACCTCATATCAAAACCTCTTTAACTGCGAGACAACACAAAAAACTTTAATTGTTTTCACATTTAATGCCAAACACTGACTGACTGTTTGTCTAACGAGTGTAAGACCTGTTAATATACAGCGTATAGGAGACACCAAATTCATGTCATATCTCTACTCATGATTACCACTACCATTACATCGACTGATTGCTATGACATCCATGTGCTCTACATAGCAGCAGGTCTTACATCAATACATCACTTAATTGGTGTTTGGTATCCACACAACACATATATGTCATACACACAGACAATGACAATACTAACAGCTATTATCACACAATAATAAAAGCCATTCACTGCACACAGGCTATTAATGCATACATTTCTCATTTGACATCCGGTTGTCATCCAATGGCCTCATATAGACATCGCCTCAAGTAGTGGGTAGTGATCACGACCTCCGCCTCCACTCACGCCATACGTACGGCCAGTGACCCCATCGACAGACACCACGGATTAGCCCACAGATTATCACCGCCTTCACTGTCACACTATATATACGGTATATATATATATATCTGTCAATGACTCGCCAATCAAAACAATGTGTCGCTATCGCTGGCACTGATCCGGCGGGTGATGATTGGGTTGGTGTTTGCGGTGGCGATCGGCCACTCACTACACGTGCGATAAACCAGTGGTCACTCTGTCTGTCAACACATACACACACTATAGCACTGACTGTGAGCCTAATTACTTGTTTAGCGAACCCAATGCCACTGCACTGCAAATGGCGTTCATTTGGTATAACAGTAAAAATTATATAACATTTCTCGCGTACAGTAATTACATGTGTGAAATGAGTATATGCGTACAGGCGTTGCACGTGCATTAGGGGCTGTTTGGGGGGCTATATGTGTGGTGAGTATTAATGGGACAACCAATTAGTGCAATGTATGTTATGTAACACTTTAGGCACAGTATTACAGTACGATATCATAGGTGAGTGGATTGACATCAAATTGTATCCAGGCAACTTTTTAGATACATGCATATAGACAGGGTTCAATAGTTTTTCCCAAGTTCATTTATAAATTGTAATTTATTTTATGTGGAAATGTATTTTTCAAAATCTTGAATAAGTTTCTAAATGTAATCATAAAATATTTTTATTATATTCTGTATTAGGTTTAATGCAACTGGGTAATTTTTTATTTTTAAAATTTGATTTGAATAAACTTGAAATAACCAGGATCTGAATGTTTGCGAGTGACTTTTTAAAAAATATTTAAACAGCACTAAAACTTCGCTTAGCAAACAAACCTTCAAAATATTAGTTTTCACAATGAGTTTACCTTGCGCAATATCCTTGTTGTTGAAAGTGCTGGAAAATTGTCACACAATACACACTTTGAATTTCAAAGTGTGAAACCTGGCTAACATCTCTCTAAACAATTGGAATAAATAAATCATATAAAAAACATTAGTGCACACTAAATTCATAGTTTAGACTTAGCAAATTAGTTACATGTATTTTGATCCAGTTCAATTCTAACTTAAATCAAATTGTGCGAAAATCAGTGAAAAAACTTTTAGCTCACAGTAGTGCACAAAATAATATATTGAAATATTCAACACTTATATTATTTTACAAATAGTTTTCACACAATTTACTGGCATTTAATCAAAAAACATAAATATAGTGTAAATACTTATATTTTGTCAATCATTGGGGTTTGACACTAGGCTTACGTATTACCGGTAATAACCATTTGGATTACAATTAATGGCAAATTAATCACAAAAAACTTGCATTTTTATTCAAAATTAAAAGTATTTTATTAGTGAATTACAAGTGTTTAATAATACTCTCGGCTCTAAGCGGTAAATTAATAACCATTTGGATTACAATTAATGGCAAATTAATCACAAAAAACTTGCATTTTTATTCAAAATTAAAAGTATTTTATTAGTGAATTACAAGTGTTTAATAATACTCTCGGCTCTAAGCGGTAAAACTCGAGACTATTTGCTCATCAAATTACAATTCATTTCAATTACAAATCTCTTAAATAAATAATTAGAAAAACCCATAAATGGTTAAAAATTATTGTTTGTATGCAAGTGTTAAAACCTCGGTAATTGGTAGTTATTACGGGGCTATTAGTACAGGAATCGAAAAAAAACAAACAATTTATACATTTTTTTGTGTTTAATTAATTATAACTACAATTAAATGAGTAATAATGAGATATTAAGTGTGATATCGATTATAATGAATCAAAAAATTTTTTTTTATAATTAATGCGTTACAGAAATACATCACTAATTGAGGCAATAGGTGCTCCTATTTAGGAGACGCGACAACGACTTTGTGTACAATTCTTGTGGTCGTTATCCAGGGAAAGAGTTTACAAAAAATGTTTAATTTTTAATCAAAATTTGTGGTTTGAATAGAAAGCAAATCAGAATTGAGAGGATAATCAATACATAAAATAGAAAATAAACGAAAAAAACAAACGAAAAAACAATTTTCAGAAGAGATAGATAGAGAGAGAGAGAGAGAGACCACTCGCTCGCCGGTGAGCGGACACTGAAGTCTTCGGCTATAACTACATCTACTTCTCTTCGCACCACTCGTTCTCTTTGCGCACCTGTTCCTCCTCCTGAGGGTTGAATTCTAAGCGGTAAAACTCGAGACTATTTGCTCATCAAATTACAATTCATTTCAATTACAAATCTCTTAAATAAATAATTAGAAAAACCCATAAATGGTTAAAAATTATTGTTTGTATGCAAGTGTTAACACCTCGGTTATTACGGGGTTATTATTACAGGAATCGCAAAAAAACAAACAATTTATACATTTTTTTGTGTTTAATTAATTATAACTACAATTAAATGAGTAATAATGAGATATTAAGTGTGATATCGATTATAATGAATCAAAAAATTTTTTTTATAATAAATGTGTTACAGAAATACATCACTAATTGAGGCAATAGGTGCTCCTATTTAGGAGACGCGACAACGACTTTGTGTACAATTCTTGTGGTCGTTATCCACGGAAAGAGTTTACAAAAAATGTTTAATTTTTAATCAGAATTTGTGGTTTGAATAGAAAGCAAATCAGAATTGAGAGGATAATCAATACATAAAATAGAAAATAAACGAAAAAAACAAACGAAAAAACAATTTTCAGAAGAGATAGAGAGAGAGAGAGAGACCACTCGCTCGCCGGTGAGCGGACACTGAAGTCTTCGGCTATAACTACATCTACTTCTCTTCGCACCACTCGTTCTCTTTGCGCACCTGTTCCTCCTCCTGAGGGTTGAANAATAGAAAATAAACGAAAAAAACAAACGAAAAAACAATTTTCAGAAGAGATAGATAGAGAGAGAGAGAGAGAGACCACTCGCTCGCCGGTGAGCGGACACTGAAGTCTTCGGCTATAACTACATCTACTTCTCTTCGCACCACTCGTTCTCTTACGCGTGGACAAGGAGGAGGACTCCCAACTTCAGTAAGAACTACAACTTACAGAACGCCTAGAGGAGGCCCCAGAACGGAAACTAGTATAAGCGGTGACAGAATGTGCAGTGCAGGTTGTCTGGATACAGTGCACACAAGACATATCATTAGACACATCGCACACATCAGACACACCACACACTCATGCAGTCACACAAAGTCATTGTCTCAATGATAACCATTGATGACACAAACATACCACACAGTAATCTCTGTGATAGACCTCACATCGACACACACTCTCGAAGACATCATTATCTCAGTGACTATACCTCTGATGTTAAACATACCACACACTCAAAGACTCATACCATTGATGCCAAACATACCACACATCAGACATCAGTGTTTACGCGATAGAGACCACACATCACGTGTACACCACATCAGACCCACATTCACACGCACACAACAACACCATTATCTCAATCACCATACCATCGATGGTAAACACACCACACGCTGGACACCAATCTTACTGATAGTGCCACACATGAGACCCACACTCGGACTCACACGCAGACAAAGAGGCCATTATCTCGCGCACACATACCTTTGATGTCGAGGTAGTTGGCAGCCAGGATCAGCTCAAAGAGAGTACCCTGGTCAACCTTAAGGAAGTCTGCGTCCCAACTGCTGATGTCATCCGTGCGCTTCTCCTTGTTCTCGTCGTCATCAGGAGTCGGCGGGTCGTCCTTATGATAGGTGGCCCACTGGATCACCTTCTTGAGGATCGTCGAGTTCACGTTGGGGAGGGGCACCACCTCCTCGTCCTCCTCGTCCATCCCGAGGTCCTCGAGCATCGTCTTGATGGTCACCGACAGCTTCGCGATCTCCACGTCCACGTCAAACACCTCCCCGTCCGATGACTGCAGCTTTATGTTGGGCATTGTCTTAGCGGTGGTAGTGGTGGTGATCAGCGCCGATCAGTTGATGATCAAGTGGTGGCCGAAGAGTGAGTTGTTTTACCACTGATTCGTACGACTGTTTCAATTGGTTTTGTGTTTTGTTTGGTTTTGACTGTCGTTTCCGAGCACTGAATATACGTTTGACTCTACAATGCGCTCAACACTACAATGCGTACAATGCCATAGATTTCATCACCAATTATTCGTAACGTTATTTGTGAACGAAATGCAATGCACTGGCAATGACTGTCAGCTTTTTTGTTCGCTCAAAAGGGCGTATTTACTTCTGTGAGTTTTGGTACCTTTTGATAGTGTTGTTACGCGTGAGATGTACGAGGATTTGAATTTAAAAAGGGACTAAATGTGCACCGAATGTGCTATAAAACGGCCCAAAAAATTGATTTTTCAATTTGCAATGTATTCGGAGTTCAGCGCCAATACAGTGCTTACGACTAATTTGTAGTCATTTTCCATTAGAAACTCACGGTTTGTTAGAACAATATATAGTAAGTGGTCGTTAAGTTTAAAGTTCACGTACAGTCACGCGTCGCTATAATATACACTACACTCACGTACGCGAGAGATAAGCCAGAGATAAGCCGGCGTTAAGCCAATGGCTTATCAGCTCGTGATACGCTCATAGAGGCCTATGAATGAGGGATATATTAGACGTGCGGTGACTGTATGGCCGGCAATAGGTCAGTAGTGGCGTCGTGTGTGCAGTGTTAGCGCCATTTGCGTTGGCATTGGTATCGCTATACGAGAGGCGTATTGATATTGTGTGAAGCATTGGATACGCTTGAGAAACAGTATTACTGCCTGTGATTGGAGTCTATGAGTGAACCACACATTGAGTGTAGCGTTGAGTGCAAGTCAATAGGTATTGAATAGTGAATGCATTCATAGACTGACTGCACATCTGATTTGCAAAACCCGTTGACACTAACAGTCAGTCCAGTGATTGCGGCGCTAATCGCGTACCCAATGGTCTAATAAACTATTTATTTATCTATAGTTTTATTTATTGTGTGTTTAATGCGCGCACCGATGGGACAGTCGTGTTGTTGTTGTCGATGAGGAGTGTGGCGTCAAACCAATCGATACTGACATCCGTGTGAAGAACACAACCATTACTTAAGCCGTGGAAGCGATCTTTCATTGGACTCATCGGTGTCTGTGTGTAGTGTCGACCACAACCTCACCGCTCATTATCTCATAGACATACCGCTGAGGACACGCATCCAGTGTCTCAGTGAGTGATAGCTATGGCGACGGCGGGACACACGGGACAGACATTGAACGATAGGCTGAACGCCGCGCGGTATGCGTTGGCCGGCCAGGGGTTGGCGCGAGTGGTATGTAAGGCGACCACTGAGGAGGT